ATATTTTGCCCCATTATTTCTTACGTAAACCTTTTATCCTAAGTGTTGTTAGAATGTATTTAATATTTGATTAAATCAGGAGTTCAAACAACCCAAAACAAAGGTTCAAACAACCCAACACAGCAACAAGCCAAAAGGTTCAAAAGGTTCAAGTGGAAGATATTCAAATTTGTAATGATGGAGTGGAAGATATTCAAATTAGTAATGATGGAGTACAATAACTATAAACAGCTATAAATTCAAATGAATGCAATGGCTATAAACGGCTATAAATTTCATTATATATACCAAAGCCTCTAATGTAAACAAGTTACAAACAAAAAATCAGAAAATATTATTTGATCTATAATCACTCACATTTATTCTCTAAAAAATTCTTTGAGAAGTGTTCTTCAATTTTTGTTTACATCATCTTTCAGAAATTATATACTGAGACGTATAGCTTTAAACCTATCTTTCTTGTGTGAGGTTTACAGAAAAACCAGAGTTTCATTTTGTATATCCATTTGGAAGAGATATTTATTGTAAGCTTTCTTTGAAAGCAAAAATACCATTTCATCTTGTAAAAATGCTACAAATACTGTGTTCTTGAAATCTTGAGAGTGATTATGAATCACCTAAGATTTGCAAGGGTTTGGGCTTGTGAAGTCTGTGTAAAATCTACGGAGGATTGCTCCATGTTTATGAGGTTGCTAGCACCCCTGTGAAGTTAGAAGATAGTGAAAAATTTCAAGTGAAGCTTGAGGAGTGAATGCAGGCTTGGTTGAAGCCGAACCACTATAAATCTGTTTGTCTCCTCTTCCCTAATCTCTTTACTTTCCTACTACTGCTATAGCTATCTAATATTCATGTGTTAATCATTTGATTTACCCTGTATGTTAGTTATACTTCATTGTTATTTTGCTTGATCATTTACTACTAAGTTCATCATTGTGCTTGTTAATAATTTGTTGTACTGGTAGTTAATTTTATTGGGGTATTATTAATTTTAATTTGTAGAAACCTAATTCACCCCCCCTCTTAGGTTGCTTTTTGGGTAACAATTGGTATCAGAGGTTGGGGCTTTTGTTTAGATTTAACAATCTTGAGTTTTTGATCCATAGCAACCATGTATTCTACTTACTCTGCTAAAGGACAAGCTAGCAATAGGCCACCTCTCTTTGATGGTAGTAATTACATTCATCAGAAAGAAAAAATGACTTTGTGTCTTCAAGCTACCAATTATGCTTTGTGGTTCATTATCACTAAAGGTCCTAAAATCCGTTCCAAGGTAGTAGACCATATCAGTGTGCCTAAACTTGAGGATGAATTTAATGAGCGTGATTATAAACTCCTTCAAGCTAATGCTAAAGCCAAGCTTATTCTTGTGTGTGGACTAGATGCAAATGAGTAAAATAGAATTTCTGGATGTATTACTACCAAAGAGATTTGGGATAAACTTGAAATCACCTATGAAGGAACTAGCCAAATAAAAGAGTCTCGGATTGACATTCTTATTCATGATTATGAACTCTTTACTATGAAATCATTTGAATCTATTTCTGAGATATTCTATAAATTTACCAATATTATTAATACTCTAAAATCTCTTGATAAATCTTATACTAATGGTGAGCTTGTGAGAAAAATACTCAGGTCTTTGCCAAATAAATGGGAAGCTAAGGTTACAGCTATCCAAGAAGCAAAAGACCTAACAAAATTAGGCATTGAAGAACTCCTAGGCTCACTCATGGCTCATGAACTTTCAATGATGCATGGCAGCAAAAAAGAAGCCATTTGGAGAGAAAATGATAGAGTAGCCAACCTGTGTCTCATGGTTCTTGGAGAAAAAGAATCCACTCAAGATAAGGTAATTTCTAATTATGTAGAACTTGAAAGTGCTTTTAATGACTTACACGACATATTTAGAAATGTTTGTGTTAAGAATTCTAAATTAAAAAAATTAGTTACTTCTCTTTCAAATGATGTGGGTGTTTTAAAAATGAAAAATGCTACTTTGAAAAATGACTTTACGTCTATTGCCAATGATAAAAACATTTTAAAAAACAATGTTGAGGATTTAAACAAAACTCTTAAAAATTTTGTAAAATGAAAAGAAAATCTCAACAAGCTTCTTGGAAATAAAATATGTTTTTTTTTGACAAAGTAGGCATTGGTTTTAATCCTCCTAAACCTTTTATGAGATTAAATGTTCTTGAAACTAATCTCCATGGACCCAAGAAAGTATGGGTACCAAGAAAGAAATCAAGATATTTTATAGGTGAAATCTCAAAGAACACCAAAGACTTCGAGAGGAAATGCACAACAAGAGTGTTCAATCTAAAGAGCAAAATCAGTTCCTACAAGAAGAAGAATGATGAAATGAAAATCACCAAGATGAACAATAGAGGTAATGTATGGGTGAAGATTCCAAAGAGGTAAATGAAGGTATAACTCCTAACACACCTTTAAGCTTAAAGTTCTATATTCTTTAAGGTGTGATTTGTATACAATATGTTATGTCTAATCATTGCTTCCATATAACCTAATTGTACTAAGTTTGCTAAGTCATGTTCTGCTAGTTTTTTTCAAACATTCATTGAACTCAAAAATGAGAATTATGTTATTTTGATGAATGCATATTAGAATATGAATGATTCATATATTCATTAACATTTTATATCATGTCATCTATTGCTATGAAAAAGAAATAAGAAGTGATAAAATTTGTTTGTGAGCATACTTTTCACATCTTATATATGACTTCATACTAATATGTTAATTCCTTTTTGAGTCATATCTTTGTAGAATTAATTTTGATGTCATAACATGTTTTTGAGATGTATACTAACTATATTTTGAATTCTACATTTGTGATCTCAAGAATATGCTCAATATGAAAATTTCATACTTCTATGCTTTACATTGGAATATTTGAATGAGTTGTGAAATTCCTTGATTATGATCCATCAACAATGTCTAAATGAAAAGAAGTATCATACGTTTGTAGAAACATTGCATCTATCCTATTGAATATCTTTTGAATATGGATTATATTGGCATACATTTCACGAAATGCTTTTGATTGATACATTGTTGAATTAATTGTTTATAGCATTCATGTTGTATTCCACATTAAGTAAAATATTTTATCACACTTGAGTATGTGGATTGAATTGATGAAAATGCCTCTTAATAATGTTATGTGATTAAATGAGATTGTTGCATCATTTCTTAATAAAGCAAAGAGTATAACACTATTTTCTTATGCATATTATGCTATGTGCTACAACTTGAAAATTTTAAAAAATAGCATTCCAAAGTCTTGTTTGATCATTGAATTATTTTTCACCTTTTGAGTTTGTGATAAGAAGTTATTTGTGATGTATTTTTATTGAGTAATAGTGATTGTTCAATGAATGCTATACTTACACAAAATCATATTAGAAAAGGGTAACACCAACTTAGGGGGAGAAAATCATTTTGCTAACATAGTTGTTAAACCCCTTTGAGATGAACTCCTCATGAAAGAAAATTGAAGATTGAAAAGCTTCTAACTCATGAACCAAAGGTATGTCTCCTACACTCTCTTAAGCTTTTGAGGTAAAAATTATATCTTATATCCTTTGAGCTAATACTGTTATTACTTTGATATGAAAAAGATTGATTATGCTTCATATGATTTGCAATATATACTCTTTAATGATGCTCTTGCCTAAGAATCATGCCTATGCTTAAATGTGTGCTATATATTGAAATTCATGATTTTTCTTAGCATATGGATTGTTATACCTTGAACATACTTCATTTTTTGGAATTACATTAGCGCCATGAGATTATATTGAGTTTAACCGATTATGAGCAATATTTGGTATTCTACATAATGCTTGAGCTATGATTGTTAAATCTTCTAAATTGCATATTGGTATCCTTGGTAGATTGTATGTTGGTATCATTTTGGCATCCTTATTGGTAATATTTGGCATCCTATTTGATATTATTGAGGAGAACATTTCAGTTATGAGCTTTCATTTATCATATCTCCTATTAATTTTGCCAAATGAAACAAGGGAAAGAATTTAAACTAGATTATTTTTTTTTAAAAAAATCCCCTCAGATTCTATTCTATTTTTGATATCACACTTGTGAGCTTGCACCTCACATATACTTTTAACAATTTGGTATCTCCTTGGCTCTTGCTTGAAAATAGATTGAAATAATATGAATTCTTCATAATGGATAAACTCATTGATTCATTGTTGCTATATTATCTTGTTACAACAGCATGTGTGTCTCATTCTTGACCTTTGGAACTTCTCCTTATTACACCCATGGCATTTATCTAAACTTGATGCTACATTGTGATAATACTAGTGCCATCAATTTAAGCAAAAATTCGGTTCAACACTCACGAACAAAACATATTGAAATTCAACATCATTTTTTAAGAGATCATGTTTAAAAAGGAGATATTGTACTTGAATTTTTATATATTATGATGTTATATATTATGGTATTATTATGATGTTATTTATTATGATGTTATATATTATGATGTTATGTATTATGGTATTATTTTCAAACTAATATGATATTATGTATTTATAGTTTGATATCTTAATCTTATATCATGTTGTTGATTAAAGCCAGTGTTTTTAAAGGCAAAAGCGCAAGGCGAGGCGTTTTACCCTTGTTGAGGCGAGGCGTAGGCCTCGAGGCGTAAGCCTTTCGAATTTTGATTTTTTTTAATTTTTATAAAATACAAAAATAATTAAATATAGCATAAAAAGAGTAAAAAAAATAAGAATTACCAAATAAAATTCTTAAAGGCCATTCTAAGTATATAACCATAATTAATTAATAATTTCAAGTATTATAAGTGCTTTCTAAGTCATTCTCATTAATACTATAATAAAAAAATAACTTAAGTGATAGTCAAAAACTTAAATTCCAATTGTACAATAAACAGAATAACTTAAAACTCTAATACTCTATAAATAAAGCAATAAATAAATAATAGGTCACACTAAGTCATCCTCATTAATAGTGTCATCATCTTCGTCCGCTATATCTATAATGGGATAGGTTCCATCATCTATTCCACCAACTTCTTCCAACGCCATATCTTCATCCACAAGGGTGCATCTTGCTGCCTTGCCTTTTCCTCTATCATTTCCTATACAAGAAATAGGATTTCAAATTAATTAAATAGGCACATATAATAACATATATGCAGCTAGTCTATAATTGTTTAACAACTTACTTGAACCTTCACCAACATTTCTTTTCTTTGCATTCGAAGATGAGTCAACATTAATTGTAGTCGTAGTTGATCGATTCTCCACACTTCTATCATATGTAGTGATAGGCACAGTCCTAATTGCTTCAGCATCGAACAATTCTTCTTCATCAAGCCAAGAAGCATCGAGGGAGAGGACAAAATCTTTTTCAGCAATCCATTCATCATCCGAATCAATTTCATCAATTAGTATTGGATCGATGTTTTGTCTTCTTCTGATACTGCTCTCTCTTAGTTTAGTGTTGTACTTCACATAGACCAAAGCATTCAAACGTTTGTGCTCAAGCCTATTCCTCTTTTTTGTATGAATCTAATATAACAATATAAGAAACGAAATAAGAAACATGAATATTTTATTTTATGCATAAGAAAGTTTAGGAAAGAAAGATATATTACCGACTCAAAGGTGCTCCAATTCCTCTCACATCCCGAAGCACTACAAGTTAGACTAAGTATTCGAATAGTAAATTTTGTTAACTCTGGTGTTTTGCTCCCAAAACGAATCCACCAATCAGCTACATAATTTGAAAAATGCACAAATAATTTCAATATCATATTTTAATTTTATAGAATGTAATTGGAAAATTATTTTCATATTAGTTTCTTACTGGGAGAGCGTATCGCTCTGGAATCAATTGTAACACAACTTCCAAATTCCCCTTTTGCTTGATCATAATAGTCCAATTGGATATCAGCCTTGAGACGCTCATCATAACTCAACATTCTATCCATGCACTAATACAATCCTTGCCTCACCTCCTCAACATTGGAGAAGGAATCTCGATAGCGCAACTGAGGGTTTAGATAATAACCAGCAGCATGTAAAGGTCTATGAAGTTGTGGTGTCCACCTTGCATCTATCTTATTCCAAATTGGTCCGTACTTCCTAACATTTCCTCCATAATTGAAAGCAATCTTTTCTTTAGCCAAATCCATCAACTCATAAATGTAACCCCTAGCAGGCCTCTCCTCTGAATCAACTTCTCGCAAAACACTAACCAAAGGTATTGTGCTTTTGATACAAAACGCAACATTAGGCCAAAATTTTGGATCAAACAACATAGTTGCACAAGCCTTGACCCCTTCAACCTTTCTTGCCCAACTACTAGAAGCCCACTTTTTTGAAGAAAACATAGCTTGGAGTGGTTGCTTTTGTTTGTAAAGACTTTGGGGAGTAAGATAAGCAGTGGCAAACTGTGTTACTGCTGGACGGAGTAGTTTATTGTTCTTTGTAAGTGATCTCATCATTGAAAGAACCCAACAATGTCCATATATGAACTTGACCACTTGCCTAGCTAACGAGAGAGTTTGATCACAGACTTTCAATTTTCCAATGCCCTCCAACATTAAATCAATACAATGCGCAACACATGGAGTCCAATACAACTTCTTCCTCTTCTCCATAAGTCTCGACCCGGCATTGACATAGTTTGCAGCATTATCAGTAATAACTTGAACAACATTATCTTCCCCAATTTCATCTACGACACTATCAAGATAGTTAAACATCAACTCCCCATTTTTTATAGTATCAGATGCATCAATTGATTTTAAAAACCAAGTTCCAGCAGGGCACAAGAAAATTAATAACAACTTTACTTTTCCCATCTGTCTAGCCATCAGACATAATTGAGCATCCATATTGTTTCCATGCTTTCTTATGTTCCTCCATCATGACATTTATATCCTCTACTTCTGCTTTAAGAATCCAAGTCCTCAATTCATGCATAGAAGGGGGTTTGAAACCAGGTCCATAATTTGCAATTCCATCAACTACAGCTACCCAATACGGATCATTCACTAAATTAAATGGAAGAGCTTTACAATATATAAAACGCCCAATCTTTCGACACACATCTTTTCTTTCTTCTTGTTTCCATTTGGAGTTCAGTGTAGATTGTCGTGCTTAAGAACTAGCAAATTTATCCATTGGACCCCTCGGTTTTGGTGGTTGTGTCATGCCACCAATATCGCCTTCAATAGATTAAGAAGCACCACTCTCGCCCTTTGCTCCAGCACCTATCCCAATTTCATATAGCATCTCATTACGGGCACTTTTTTGCTCAAAGAAATTTTTTAATGCGAGTTGGCATTCCAACTTTACATCTTCAGGAACTTTGGAACACGGTTTAATGCCTTTATGCGTGCCAGCTAGATGATTTTTAAATCGACTTACAGTACCACTACAAGTTTGATCACAAAATTTACATCTAAAATACTTTTTCCCATCAACTTCTTTTACATACTTCTAGACAAAATCTTTTCTTTGGCCTTTGGGTTCAGTCATTTTTCCCCCCCACAAACTTATCAACTGTAGCACTATATAAAAATAAACAAAAAAATAAAAATAAAAAAGATACTGGCTAGGTGGGACGACAAAAAGAAGAAAAGATTATTAATATTAATAATAATAAATTATAGTCTATCAAAAAATAATAATAATAATAATAATATTTTTAAATGAAAGAAGGAGAAACATTAAAATAATAATATTAAGCATAATATGTTAGTCTACTACACTGTAGATATTATATAATATATATAGTGCTCGAAACAAAGATAGATATATTATATAATATATATACATCACAGTCGGATAGATATATGTTATGTATACATCACAGAACCAACGCGATAAGAGAGAGACAGAGAAGCGATGTAGAAAGCAGAACGAGAGACGATGCAGAAAACAGAACGACAGAGAGACAGAGACAGAGTCAACTCAACTCGAGAGAAAGAGAGAAAGAGACTGCGTACCTTGAAAACCCTAGTTCGTCGAAGAAGAATAGGTGACTGATTCGAAGTTGTTGGACTCTGATTTGAAGAAGATCGACTTACATGGTATTTATAACTTCTTCTTGAGCAATTTCTGTTTGAATCGAAGTCATTTATAGCAATTTTCCATCAACTACTCTATCTTCCCTTTTTTGATTTTTGAAATCGAACTCTTCAAAGGCTTGCACCTCGTTGTTGAAAGCGTGAAAAGCTTATGAAGGGCGACAAATGTTTACGCCTCTGATTTTGACACGTACGCATAGCTGCGGTCTCGCTCCCAAAAGAACGCATCTGTGCATTTTCCGTACGCCTCGCCTCAAGTCGCGCCTCGTATACGCCTTTGAAAACCTTGATTAAAGCTTATTTGTTACACATGTGCTAATCCATGTATTTAGAAATGAATTCAGGGAGCATGACTTGCGGGAGAGCTTTTTTTACTCCCAAATCAAATCAAAACATCATTGTGTGCCATCATAAAAAAGGGAGAGATTGTTAGACTTATTTATTTTGATGATTTATTTAATTATATTTTAATTTATTTGGAAGAGAAAAATAGAATCAAAATTTATTTTGATGATTCATTTGAAAGAGAAAAATAGAATCAACATTTATTTTGATAATTTATTTAATTATGTTTTAATTTATTTGAAGGAGAAAAATAGAATCAAAATTTATTTTGGCCCATTATTTCTCACATAAACCTTTATCCTAAATGTTGTTAGAATGTATATAATATTTGATTAAATCAGGAGTTCAAACAGCCCAACACAGCAATAGGCCAAAAGGTTCAAAAAGTTCAAGTGGAAGATATTCAAATTTGTAATGATGGAGTGGAAGATATTCAAATTAGTAATGATGGAGTACAACGGCTATAAATTCAAACGAATACAACGGCTATAAGTTTCATTATATATACCAAATCCTCTAATGTAAACAAGTTACAAACAAAAAATCAGAAAATATTTCTTGATCTATAATCACTCACATCTATTCTCTGAGAAATTCTCTAAGAAATGTTCTTCATTTTTTGTTTACATCCTCTTTCAGATATTATACATTGAGATGTATAGCTTTAAGCCTATCTTTCCTGTGTGAGGTTTACAGAAAAACCAGAGCTTCATTTTGTATATCCATCTGGGAGAGATATTTATTGTAAGCTTTCTTTGAAAGCAAAAATATCATTTCATCTTGTAAAAGTGTTGCAAACACTGTGTTCTTGAAATCTTGAGAGCGATTGTGAATCACCTAAGATTTGCAAGGGTTTGGGCTTGTGAAGTCTGTGTAAAATCTATGGAGGATTGCTCCATATTTATGAGGTTGCTAGCACCCCTGTGAAGCTAGAAGATAGTGGAAAATCTCAAGTGAAGCTTGAGGAGTGAATGTAAGCTTGGTTGAAGCCGAACCACTATAAATCTGTTTGTCTCATCTTCCTTAATCTCTAAACTTTCCTATTACTGTTATAGCTATCTAATATTCATGTGTTAATCATTTGTTTACCCTGTATGTTAATTATACTTTATTGTTATTTTACTTGATCATTTACTGCTAAGTTCATCATTATGCTTGTTAATAATTTGTTGTACTAGTAGTTAATTTTATTGGGATATTATTAATTTTAATTTGTAGAAACCTAATTCACCCCCCTCTTAGGTTGCTTTTTGGGTAACACATATTAACAACTCTATTCCCATAAAATTATGTAAAAACTCTCTTCAAATCATTCTTGAAAGCATTTTTTAAAAAAAAAAAAATTAAATGAAAAACACGTTCGTCATATTAACAACTCCATTTCCATAAAATTATGTGAAAACTCTCGTCAAATCATTCTTGTAAGTATCCCGACAAATCTGGATACACAACAATAGAAAACTATCAAGTCCCAGAGACTTATCCCTCTGACATTCAAAACACTGCCACTCTAACTTCCTCTTCATTAAATGGCCTCTCCAACCATGTTGATCTATTAGCATCAATTGGAAACCAATCCAACCCTATCAACCATTCCAATGACATATTTGATTGTCCCTATCCACAACCCTCCCAGAACATACCTCCAATCTTTTTATGAAACTTTTTCCTTTCCATTGGTCACCCTATGCTGGCTATCAAATATCATGGATACAAATATTTTCTAAAGAAAAATCAATATTATCTAAAAGCTATGTTTAAATGGTATATGATTCATTGGTCACTTGATTGTCATATTATCCATTAATAGTTGTTTTCAAATTTACTTCATAGAATTTTACGAAATTAAACGAGCTTATGTAAAATTTGCATCTACAACTTTTGTACAACTACATAAGACGCTAAGCATTTTAGTTAAAAGGATAAATATATTATTAATTGATATTTTTTAAACCATTTTGTTATGTGTTACGAATCCTTTATCCTTCTACATTAGTTTTAACAAGGTGTGCTATATTTCAATCAGGTATGTACTTGTGCTTTGCACCTAGGCTCTAGGTGGCCTTCAGCTTAAGTGCAGCTCACGCTTCCACCAATAATTATTCTACATTTAAGGACAAGCATCAAACCAAACCTTTGTTGGTCCACTTGATATCCCTTTTAGTTTTTTCCCAAGGCAATAGTCAAAAGGGTTAAATGATAATTTCAAATGATATAAAATTTTCCACGACATTATCACCCCTTGTAGTTTTCTTCCTTTTTGCCCCCCGCATCTCACCCCTTTCTTACCTAATCTTCCTAATTTTTTCCCATTTTTTTGTTGGAAGGATTCCTATTATATAGAAGAGGATTTGGGTAGTAGGTGAGGAGTAGGTGAGGGTAAATTGGTGGTAGGTGTAGTAGGTGTGGCAGTAGGTGGTGGTAGGTGTAGGTAAATTTTAACAACCATGTAGCACCTCCATCTTTATTAACCCACTCCACTTCCACTTTTTATTGATGTGTGAGATAAAGAAGTAAGTATTTCTTAAGCTTCCTCAAGCCAAGCACAACGTTTTGAAACACCACCTGTTACCAGTTGGGTCAGTGCCATCTAATTTATCACTCAGCAGCCAAACAGGATTATAAAGTTTTATTTCCCAAGTACAAGAATGAGCATACCTTGATGGTCCATATAAGCCATAAAGATGCTTCCTGGTGAACTCATCAACTGCGCTTCCAAAGTCAATTATGCGCCTACATGAGATATGCAAAATATATTAGAAAATTCTCAAAGATAAACACCTGCAACATAGTAATTAGCATTTTTTTTAAGAACCAAGAAAAAGAGATTTTATTGAAATAATAAAAAACTCTAACAAAGAGAGGACAAGATGTCCTCATACAATGAGAAGAAAACAAAACAAAATCTAAACAAGCGAAAAGAGAACATTCCAAAAACTAAGATTGGCAAACAGATCTCCAATCATTGGAGATAAACAAACCAAAAAAAAAGTGGTGTTCCTTTAAATGGGGGAGATATGTAAGCCCAAAACGAAACATAGTAATTAGCATGTTTCCTCCATGGCAGGACCCACATCTCCCAAGTATACACTATCAAAGCTTGATTGCTTAATTTTCTTTCTTCCAGCTAATTGTGTAGGCAAAGGAATGTGTTTAGGCAACACATGATGCAACGGACAAACAGCTCAGTTCCTAACATGCTGCAAAGTCAAAAACAAAATTTTCTCTCTCTTAACTAAAGAGGTTGTATATAATGAAGATATGGACTAAATGATACTGTTCACAAAAGAATCACTTCACAGAACAATTGTCACCCTATTCTTATGCCTCCAGTGAAATCATCTAATCATTTATACTAAAATTTCTTTCTTTGTTCTTTGGTTACAAACATTTTCCCACTTCATTAGTAACTAGTAGAGAAGACAGAAACCACACCAGCTAAGTAGCTCTATTTAGCTAAAGAGGCCAACGCATGCTAGGGAGGAAACCAAGCAATAAATTTTTCTTTTTTAGGAAAAAAAAATTCATAAAAATAGATTCTATAACTCAAGAATACTATTATCACATTTAGACAAACTCTACTCAAAAAGTAAAAACAAACAAACAAAGAAGAAAACAAACAACTTAGGTATAAATTCTAATCCATCTAAAACGGAACACAAATGCAAACTAAAATATGATGTAAACAAAGCACGAAAAAGATATGGCATTATTTAATCAATTCAAGATTATGAGCTGGCAACTAATAAAAATGAGTTCATGGTAATCATCAGAATCTTGGTGCGCTCTAAAAGTCATCTTGAATACTTGGAGTTCATAATGAGGGGCAAAGTATAAGGATAGAAGTGAAAAAAACAAGGACAAAAGGAAAGAATATTCAAAGGTCAAAAGTAGAAAAAAGAAATGAGATCAAGAAAAACTGGAGAATAACAGACAAACGAAAAATTGAAATGAAAATATTGGCCAGAGGATGCACATCAATAGCAATAGTTATAATCAAATACATAATAGTAATATCAAACAAAGCTTCTTGCATTTTTAATATAATGTTTCGCGGTCTATTGGTCTTACATAAACCTGACCACCTATATTTATATAGACGAATATTGCAGGCCAAATCAAACCAAGAAAGCAAACCAAACCAAAAAACATGTAGAAAATAAACAATTCCAGAATTCAAAAGAACAATAACATTGACCAAATAAGAATAATTATAAAGAAAACCAAAGAACTAATGAACTTAATTTAATCTTCAAAGGAAGAAGAGAAGTACAATTGGAAGGTAATTACCTTAAGCATACTCTAGATTTCTGCAAATTCACATATTCTACTGACAACCTTAGATTTCAAAAAGAAAATATGCCCTATACAATATATAAAAAAAAAATTACTTCCTATTAGCTAAACCAACTAAATCTTGGTTTCTCAACACTCTAGAATTCCAGGGTTGTTCTTGGTTACACGAATGCATTATAAAAGAAAAGGAACAAGGTTTTAAGTATCTATTCCATCAGCACCCTTGACATAGCATGTAGTGATTATTGAAAGAATCTTATGAGATCATAAAAAAAGAGCCAGCAAGGAAAAATAAAATTTTAAGGTAACTATAAGCTAATAGTACATGACCAGCAATCTTGACCAAGAATTTCAAGAGTTGTGATAAAAACTTCAATGTTATATTGAATTTCTCCAAAATTCTGTTAAACAATCCTCATCAGAGTTTTTAATTAACCAGTATAGGTGCATTGGCTATAAAGAAGTAGGACAAGTCGGTTAAAAGCCAGTTTTTTGACTTTTTTAAGTCACATCACCTCTTTACTTTTTTGCACATTTTTTCAAAAAAAAAAAAAGCCAAATAGCTGGCTTTTAACTTACTTCCCAAAATACAGTCAAAGGATTAGGCATGTCAAGCACATAAAATAACACTAAGCATCTTATACGGACTGACACAGAAACAATAGAGAAAGAACTACGTACATTTTGGTATGAAAGTGCATATCTTCACTTGGCCTTTGTTCTAAACATGTGCCATTTGTTTCATCTTCAACGCATATCACCATGTTACCTTCAACAAAAGAAATACAAGTATACGTCTCGTTCAACAGAATTGTTGAATTGAAAATTAAGATTAACCAAACATGGCACAAAAAAAAAAAAAAAGAGTAAAGAGATTTAGCCTCTCTCTCTCTCTCTCTCTTGTTGGGGTATATTATAGAAAACTCTAGTGTTAGACTCAACCATCACAATTGGCATCCAATACCAGTCATGTCAGTAGCAATATTTCACAGAAGCTTGGATATTGAAGATTAATTTACAAAAATCCAATAACAGATTGTGGTTACTTTTGAATAACCAAACCAAACAAAACTAAGTCGTGTTAAGGTCTATATGATCAGTTAAATTACAACAAAAATAAATCCAAATCCGCTTTTTACTATCGCATCTCATGTCAGTTTAGGTCTTTCCCTTCCTCTAAACATTTTCATTAATGGTGATCATATCACTCTTTCTTACCGTTGCATCAACAAGTGTACGTTGTACACAACCAACCCATCTTAGCATGTTCTCTCAACTTATCTTTAATTTATGCTACTCCCACTATTTCACAAATTTATTCATTTCTAATTCTATCTTTCCTAGTCTGACCACACATCTATATACGCGTTCTTATCTCAACCACACTCATTTTATAAATGTATTATTTCTTATTTGTCCAACATTCTACCCTATAAATCATTGCTGGCCTTATATAAAGATCCATCCTCTTTTCTCTATACTTCTTTATTAATATTCATCAAAATCTAACTCCCTCATAACTCTTAGGAGATGCTCAATCACTCTCCCACAATTTTATTATATGACTCGTTAACTTAATGACTCTATAACTGTTGTAATTTGGGATATCTTCTTCATTTTTATATATAGGTACTAAAATATTTTTTCTTTACTAGTCAAGTATTTTCGTAGTCATTAAAATCTTATAAAATAATTTTGTTAACCAATACTTTTGTGGTTACTTTTAATATTAGCAAAAAAATATACTCTAAATAAGCGGGTGTGAAGCACCATGTTGAACCATACAAAAAATTAAAAGGGAAACAAAACCTAAAAAGACAGAAAAAATCACGTATAATGAACATAACACACCAGCTATTTTGTAGTCTACTGAAAAAAATTTAATTTAAACAGATGTCCCTTCAAACATGTTCAAAGGAGGGTTTTTTTTTTTTTTTTGGGTTTTTTGGCAAGCAACAAAGAAGAAATTGTATTAGAGAATGTGTTGAGGGCGCACAATCTGTATACAACTAACTAAATGAAACAAATACAAATTAAACAGCAAAAAAGTACAAAAGTAGAATTCCTTCCCTAGCTAGGCTAACTGGCACCTTAAGAGAATTTTTCTGGATGTTCCCTTATACATGACCAGTCCAAATAAACCCCAGCTGATTACAAATGATTAAATTCCTCTTCTTCTTTGGATTATGTTCATCCCGTGCATGACCTTGATTGAAGAACCCATAGTCCATTATTATTTCCACAAACCCACACATCAATTCCAAAAAGAACAATATTGTGACAGAAGGCATGAAGTGATACTGAAGTACAGCTCCTTACTAATTGAAGGAACAGAAACACAGAGGAGGAACAAATCAACAGAAAGCACCAGAAGAATAAGCACATACTTTTGCATGCAATAAAACAATTTTTTCATTATCTTTTTGTCTTTTCAGAATGCCCATCCTAATACAAAACTGCCCTTATGGATTCTTTCACTTTGTTAAAAATTAAAAGATTGAGAATACAAGAGCGATCAATCTGTTTATGACTCATTAAGTACCAGTAACCAATAAGAAAAAAGTCAATGACTAGTTTTTTGGACCATGTTTTCAAGGACCAACAATACACATCAGGACCAACCAAGGGTATAGCAACATAATTACTTAGCACACAGAACTTGGACGAAAAACTTCAAGACATAACCTAAAAGAACAATTATGGTACTCACCAGGTTTAATGTCCCTATTGATGATGCTACGATCATGACAAAATTTGAGTGCTATCAACTAGATCAAAAGAAAACACAGAACTGGTTAATTAGCAAGACCATCTCTGCAAGAATATGTAGAAGACAACAAGCTAAGAACTATAGAACAACTTAACAAGTGGAAAAATAATTTTCCATGTAACCTGCGAATTTTGTATAAACATCATCCAGCAACACCATACCAATCATTTTTCTTAGAAAAAGGAGTATAATTTCAGTAATCTATAAAAGTTTGGTTATAAAATTCAATTTGTAATATGTAATAATGATTTGCTATTCTAATCAATAAACTCACCTATAAATTCCAAGGACTCATCTACAAACCAAAGAAGGCATTCTATCCAAAAAAAAATTCTATTTCATCTTAATATTCCTCTCTTCAAACTTTTATATTTACTGGAAGTTTCAAACTGGATACAAGATGGTGATGATAATCCACATAGTGATTGTTTCAATGGGCATCCAACTCTTGGTCATTAGTTACCCCCAGAGAGGCGCAGTGAAAGCTGCAGGAGAAATGACATACAAGCAACCCCAACCAACAATTACAGGATCCTATAATCTTTAATAGTTTATTTTATAGAAGATCCACCAAATTTCATTCTAAAGCCCTCATAATGAAAAGCAAACATGATCTACTCTAAACTTCGCATAGGTTCGCATAGATTAATTTGAACTCCGCAAAGCTTTAGATGCATACAGTTGGATTTCTAACAATTTATGATTTTATGTAGGAATAGGTTTTTCCTTCGACCAGTCTGGTCTTTGTGGTATAAGAATGTCAAAGGCCCTGTTTGTTTCCACTTATTTGCAGTATCACATGCATAAGCAATTTTTCTTCAAATAGGTGGGTCTTTGGTTCCACTTTTCAGGTTTTTAGCTTATTTACTTTTTCAGCTTAAAAACTTGAAAAACTAACTTACTAAAGTTGAGTTTTTGATGCTATTTGTAAGCTAAGTCAACTTTTTTTTTTTTAACGTGAAAACAACCCAGGCCAATGTCAGCACTTCCGTTATGACCATTGGCAATCTCAACAATAGACTTGATTCACTTGAGGTCTAAAAGATCAACACATCACTTAATATTTCATTACAGGCTAGTTTGCACAGGTATTGCACAAAACCTGTCAGCAACATAACATTACAACGTCTATTTGCATGTTTCCTACTCACTCTTTGCGCACAAATCATAATTGCAATTCATCAATTCACCCACTGATTCAAGTTCTCTATCAATTCAACCAACCAAATCGTATTGATTACAGAATGACTCGACTGAATCATACAATTTTAACAACAATGTCAATGACCCATACTAATTCTTTTCTTCACAACATTTGATTGAATAGAATTAGGGTTAATTACACCAAGACCCACTCAAATATTAGCGAATATCACTTCACTCCCTCAATTATGAACCTGCACATTTTGACACCCTCAACTATAAAAATATATCACTTTCACCCCCTCTAGACCACCTCCAAAAGGAGTGTATCTGTACGATTTTCATAGTTGAGGGGGTTAATATGTATGGCTCCATAGATGGGGAGATAAAGTGATATTCACCAATAGTTGAGGGGATCTTGATGTAATTAACCCATAGAATTACCCACTAAATATGGAGAACATGCTAGTGACACCTATACGTGGAGATCTTAGTATTGCCCCTTGTAGTTTTCTTACATGGTCCCATAATAGAAAACAAATACCCATGGATGAAAAGTTGAAGGTGTGACAAAGGATGTATTATAGGCTAGGGAGCAAACCATTTTATGGCATTCTTAACAAGCTGGGCATGAGAGATATCTTCGCACTAGCTTGAGGGGTCGTGTTAGAATAGGAAATAATATTGATTGTATTTTATTCTTATTTTATTCCCTTGATTGGTGTAATGGGCTGGCCCATAGATTATGCCATATGGCACTCTTGTAATTACTCGGTATTAATAATATAAAAGGGGATGAAGTCTAACTCATTCCCCAACTCTTTCTCTTCTCTAAAACTACAAAAGGAGTAACAGAGGATGTATTATAGGCTATAGCCCATAAGTTGAGCAATTATTCTGCAAGATATTATCAAATGTGTCATGCGATGATACAACAAAAAATAGATGATTGAAAGTGTGCAAGTTTGACTCTTTTTTTTTCGATATTGCGAACCAGCCGGCGAGCCAGCCAGCCAATGCCATCTGCTAATCATCCTGCATGCCATACTATTTAGTAACTTAATAGGAGAAAATTACACAACCTCCTTGCTGATTTTGAAATGAAAGAAAAATAGATCTTATGCATTTACTAACCATTGACAAAACAAGGGTCTTACGCACAAGATACTGTTCCCCTACAATCTCAAAATATCAAGCTTACCAAACAAAACTAAGCCATGTGCCCTACTCAAGTGGGGTTTAGCTACATAGATCCTTTTTCGTTACTCTACTCTATCAAGGAATATGTGTTCAGTTAAATTAAATAAATTCATATATTTTTTTGCTATTGCATTCCAAGTTAGCTTAGGTCTTTTCCACCCCCCTAACATTTTCATTTACGGGGATTATATCACTCTGCCTTGATATTGCATCTATAGGTCATCATTGTACACGACCAAACCATCTTAGCGTGTTCTCTCTCACCTTATCTTCAAGCTTACCATGTGACAATAATCCACAATGATCCAAATAGTAATGTCGCTTTAATGACATACTTATTTTCACTCTTGTTCATTTTTGGTGGTAACAAGGAACCCAACCATACTTTGTATGACTGGGGAAACACCAACTATACTTCAATGACAGACCTTAAGTATGTACTTTAGTGACTGATTTTAAAATTTTACAACTATATATGAGCAAAAACTCTGCTAAACAATCTAAAAAATTAAAATTGCAGTTGATCATTTAATACAAATGGGCAAAGCAAACTTATATCTTTGATGCCATCAAATAGTACATGTCCAACAAACTTGTTTCACGACTAAAAAGAATTTTGAACTATAGAAGAAAACATGGCCATGTCAGTACCTACCAGTTGCCTTATAATGCTGTGCATCTACACTCTCCCTTGTTCAGTTGTTTTCAACCAATACCAGTATGATGAACGCTGGAGCACCTTGGCATTGTTGAATACTTTGCTTTCTTCAACAGTGGCTTTTACTGCCTCCATCGTATACAAGAGCTTCCAAAACGAAACCCCTTCAGGTAGGAAAACTAGCCACATTCCCTTGACTCCACAATCAAGAGACTGTATGTACCGCGCTACATGCTCGACACTTTCTCCGTCATGAAGAGAGGCATTCAGGAAGACTTCTCCAAAATACTTCTCTCTCAGCCCACTCAAGTAGACAACACTTCCTCTCTCCACCTATGTAAAAATAATAATAATTTGTCAGCCAAGTGTTCATTGATAATAATTGGAGTGACAGCCTGAATTCAAATAGAAATTTATTCTACAAATCACGGGGAAGGAAAGACACCAAAACTCAGACAAATAGGCTGAAATCACACATGTCAATGCCACGATCAAACAAATGTCAATCTATAATATCAAACCCACTTGTGTACATTATTATGTCACATCTATGTAGTTTAATCACCTACCATGACACGTTTTATGATGAATGAATCACCATAAGAAGAAGAAGAGTGGCAATCATTAGTGGATGAAGAATAATCTGAATGCAAGTTCCAAGGGTCGAGGCAAAAACTGTTTAAGGTAACTTCTTGATCTTCATGCATCGAAACCACAGCATTTTCCCCCATGGAACAATTTAAGTAGGAAGTCAACCAGGTCTCACCGAAACCTCCCTGGCCTAATCTTCTCTTCAACATGTATCTAACAACAAAGAAGATTGCATGTTAATAATAACTTTTAACAAGAAAAATCACAGAACTTTATGTTCAGGAAAAAAAAGGAAGAAAAAAAACCTATAGCAATAAAATCCCAACAAGTACTCATTAAATAACAACTGAAAATGGAAAAAGGAGAAACGTACTGATATGTAGCAATCATATTCTATCTCTGTGATGCAATACGGTTAGATGGCAAGTTCATGGACCAATTTGACTGTTTGATGGCAAAACGGCAATTTGGAAATTTTCCAAGGTTGTCAAATCAGGCCCCAAGGACCCATATTTGATCCGAAACAACGTCAAATGGCTCCATGAAATATTACTATCTAACTGTGCTGCATCACAGGTACAGAATAAAGCATATCAACTCTAAACTGAAGACTACGCTGTCCACAAGCCCTCAAGGCTAGGGCCAATGGGAAAATAAACTAGTAAGCAAAGAAAAAAAGCCATTACATCAATAAGACAGACCTGTCTCCGTGTGATAGAAATAAAGCTGTTGGAGGCTAATAAGTGCAAGAACTTACCTGGAAGCAGGTATCTTATAACGAAAATCTGCAAAAGATGTTGAACAAACATTAAGGGCGGGAATAGAATCACGCAGCCCCATTCCAATCTTGCACATATTTTCATCTCCATCAGAAGTTGCAAGTTTACCTGAAAGGAATAGGATACAACTCACCTTGTTGTCATGCAAATCAAAGCAATTCAGAAATTTCAATATACTTAATAACCAAAGACGAAGCAAAATGCACCTCTATTTTCCGTATGTGCAATACAATTAGGTTGCATTTGGATTTATGGATTCAAAATCAAGGGCTTTGTGGTTCAAACTTGTGAGGTGGACGAGCATGGGTTACTAAGCTTGTATTGGAAAGCTAATAATAACGTAATCGTATGAATAAAGACATATCAAAGTACAGTACTTGCAGAACTAGAATTCTCATTGGCAAGGATTTCAAATAATCCCTTTTATTTAGTTATTTCAAGTTCATTACCTTTTTCCCATCAGTAACACAGAAAATTGTGTTGGAGCAAGTGCCAAGGGAAAAAAGCCTTATACAATCGGATGAAAGGAAAAAGAAAGAAAAAAAAAATACATAAGATAGGCAATGACAATCTTAATACAAAATATAAAAACCATCCCCCAAGAACTGAAATAAATCTAATACTTTGCCAACTTCATATAAGCAGCTTTTTCATCATTATACATAGATTTTCATTTATCACTACCAGCTTTACAAACAGATGTAATTTTCAGGTGTTCCATGAAATTTCTTCTAAATTTTTCCGTGAAAACAGAGTAAGCACTAACAGGTTTCTTAGGTAAAATCAAACCTCCTGAACGGGAATGCTGAACCAAACCCCCAACCATATCCTTATCCTCACGCTGTCCCACCCACTAAAGTCCCACTCCCCTTCTATCCACCATAAGTAACAAAACTTGGAGCCTATTCAACTCTTTTTCCATTCTACAAGGTGTTTCCATCCCCATTTTGACCTTAACCTTACAAGATCCACGAAATGACAATCAGTGCTCTTTTCTTCCACCTTTTTATTAACGTCAGTGATGGTGAGCATGGAAAGAAGAAAAAAGGACAAATCTAGAATTTCGCATGAAGCACATTTAGGGCATCATAGATTGAAGTTTTGGAATAATTTTGAGTCTTTAATTGTGTTTATTTTAAATTAGTATGCTCATGGAAAATTTATGTCATCATTTTAGGTTCAAGTACTTGGAAATATCACAGTAATTTCAATAATTGTTGGACATTAGTAAGGTAAAATTCTATCCACACACCACATAAAATCTCTTGCACATCATTTATTCTGTTCAGATATAAACTTCCGAACAAAAGTGAAATGTTCAAGCATAAACTTCCAAACAAAAAACAATTTTTCTAATATAAACTATTGAATAGAATATATATCTGAACAATTCATTTACATTCGTAAGTATATGGCTGAATATTTTATTTTTGTTTGCAAATTTATACCCAAACGACACAAATGCTGTGTATAGAGATTTTCTATGGCGTCCGAATAAAAATTACCCGAGTATTAGTCATAGTCCATGGGTTCTCTTGCGGGTCAAGTAATGTTATTTGAATTTTACATGGAGTCCTAGTTGGTCTAGAGTATTAGTAGTTACCAAATATTCTTAGTTTCTAAATTTGGGTCCAAGTTATTGTAGAATTAGGTGAGTCTTAGCCAATATATATATATATATGTTATCTCAAAGACTTGATGAAGAGTTAATATTAGAAATTGTGTTTGAGTGTGATTGCCCAAACCCTTGCAAGGGTGAAGCACAATCTCTTTCCCTCACTACTTCTCCTTCTTCTCTTTCTTCTTTGTGCACATGCCCCAGTTACTATTCTTAGGTTACTATTCACATCCCTCTGATAGTACATATTTCGGCCCCAAAACCTGTTCATATCACCCCGAATTATCCCTAATCCCTTCTCCTACCTATTATGGCCTTATTTAACCATTACAACCTTAAATTACTCACTGTTTATGCTGTCAAATAGCCTCTATTCTGAAAATTCAGTAGGTTTCCCGCATCAGTCAGCATTCTTTCACCTTCGTAACCAAATCTTCAACCTGTTTTTTACTCAGACAAGATAAAAGTGAAATTTTCAACCTTACCAATGCTCCTATCAATCTTTCTTCAGAATTAAAAGACCATTGGCATCACCGTCGAAAGAAATCTCAAAATGGTTTGAACCTCTTGGATCTTGATCAATTACTAAACTGAACTCCTTTCAAGCCCAGAAGTCCCTTTGAACATCTGTGAAAGAAGCAACCCCAAAATGGTGCAAGCCACAGGCTTCTATCCTTTTAAATACAAATCTGTTCAATTCAAATCTACAAGTTCACAAGCAAACTTGAAGAGTTGACATAAAATCCAAAATTCAGACACTTATAAAATACATACAACTATACTCTTAAATGGAAGACATCATAGAATAGAAAAAGATAAAGAATCCACCCCCAAACAAATAAGGAATAACATTCAGAACTCCTGTGAGTGGAGCAATTATACTCACATTGGCATTGAGACAGGCCATACCGTGGAGCCTGCTGCAGGTCAGCTAATCATCTTTAACATCTTTCTGGCTTACTTTTTGTGCCTGAAAATAAATAAAGCCCCTTCATCTTTAATATTCAGTCAAACTGAAACTTTAAAATCCTTTATCTTTCATCAAAATTTATGATATTAACTAACAACATAAAAGGAAACGACAGAATGGAAGTTCACATAGGTAATTTAACACATCTTGTATTGAAGTTTCAAGACTGCTATCACCGGGGGGTGGGGGGTGGGGGTGGGGTTGCTGAATCATGTACCATCAGAATTTAGTGATAATTTAGTTATTATAATCTCAGAAAAAACAAGCAAAGAATAGGATGAAAGAGCTAACATTATTTTCCTTGGATTGAGTAAACAGCATCAGACGCTAAAGATACCTATTTTTTTTTTCCTTTGTTTTTTTTACGAGGTGGAAAGGAGAACAATAATGCTACCACAGGTGTTACGTATATTAAAAATAATAAGAATAACAACTTGTGTCAACGGGTTTTCAGTGAACAGCTATGAAATTTCTCATTTTTCACTTCTTAAAGGTCAGTCATCATGCCCCAAAATAGAGACAAAGTAACACAAGTATTAGGCTTGAATGACTAACATTATCTCAGGAGTGGGACTAGAAGTTTTTCTCTGCTCTGGTATGATTTCTCAGACCACAAAAGGTCCTAGTTTAGTTGGAAAGACTAAAAAGAAATTAAGGTCCATCAATCTTACATTACGCTTTTTTAAAAGGTCATTTCTTCAATGGTAACAGATGAAAAATAATAAAACTGAGACTGGCAGTCACGTAACAGTCATTTTAGACAAATCTACTTAAATTTGATTAGTGATCACTGAACGAAATTTTGAATTAGTTATGCATTCCATATTCATCCAATATTCCCCTGCAGTTTAACAGCTTTAGGTAGAAACAAAAGTTTGGAATAAAATTTCATGAAGAGTGAACCTCATCTGAAGCCTTATTTAGCTTCCAAAAGGATCAGACTGTCCAATTAACTAAAAGCCCTCTAAATTTTTAACCAATATATTTAGAGACATTAATAACTTCTTAAATGTAAAGGTAATAGCTTTAGCTTCGTAAATATTGAGGCAAAAACTCCTGCTTATAAAGGACAAATTTTACCTTGTATATCCACCAACATTTTATATATAATGTTCCATGTAAGAGAACTAACTGAATAACTACACAGTCCCCATTTGATGGGGTTTAGGAGGGGTAAATTGGGTACAGACCGAACTTGGCATAAATTTGCACAAAGTAGCTGGCCTTAGGTTCAAACCCATGATTTCATGGTTAGCTGGCCAAGGTTTAACCACTAAACCAATGGCCCCCTCCTTCAATATAAGAGAACCAATGATGTAATTTAAGATGCACACAACGTAATGTTTCATATTAGTTCTAGAAATAGTTACATCAGAATTTCATGTCCAAAATGGTGATGTAGAACGGGGAGGGAGAATAAAAGAGAGAAAGGGGGGAGAGGACAAACACAAGGCCATAGCACTAATCACACAAGGCCAAAACTTTAAACTCTCAATTTTAATAATCAAACTCTTAATAATACAATGCAAAACCTAATATTATATAGGCCACTAGCCCTAATTAAAATAAGAAACTAAACCCTAATAAAAAAGCAAACTAGAATCCCAATTAAACAGGACAAAATATTAATAAAACTTCTATTTAAACTATAATAAATATATATATATATATATATACATACATATATTAAAGACAAATAAATTATAAAATAGTAAATAAAATCTCCATGCCAAAAATTAGTGCGTGCACATTCTACATCAATTAGTATTGAATGTGAAGAAACAAACCAAGACCTGTATTGCCCCACTAAGTTCAATAGACCTGAGCTTACAACTTCTAAAAGAGTAGAGTGTGGGAAACCACCTTCTTTTTCTTTTTTTTCTTTTTTTTCTTTTTTTTTGTATAAATAATTGGTAAACATTTTTATACCCCAGGGAGAAGATAAGAAACCAAATGAAAACAAACACTACACTTCCCGGAAACAAATAGAAAACTGGATCGACGTCACTTCTTTCCACTTCTGATATCTGGTCTAATAAAATGAACATTAACTTCATTTTGAACATTCAGCTCGCCGTAAACTTCAGAGCTTACATAAATCCAATCTCTAGAAACAGAATAAAAGTTCATAAGGGAGATAAGGCAGCAATTGTCAGGATACATTAAACATCTACTCAGATGGGCAAAAGGCCAAACTCCTGGTTCAAGTATTTTTTTGCAGTGAACATTTGAGGTTGCTGGGTTGGCCCCTTATAACATACGCAGACCAGTGCACGCTTAACAGTCACATTAATGATCAAACTATGCCGTGCAAGCAAAAAAACTAGTTTAAGGCATATAACTGTAAGGCACGATAAGTTGTTGTGCATTAACAGAGAAACATGCCCTAGTGCTTGCATGATGAGATGGCTGATGTTATTAGCTGAATCAAGTTGCAAAATAAAGGTCAGCGCAAACAATGCGTAGCAAGGTAAGAAACAAGATCACAAGAATATTATTTCGCAGAGAATCTTTAAAATGTTAAGAATTTACTACATTAGCTAGAAAACAGTAACAAAATCCTTGACTTAAACATAATAATATCTACTGTTTAATGGCTAGAAAACTATAGTCAGAAAATAATGAGACATAACTGTGAAGCGAAATCCCACATAGCCTGAGTACTAAAATAATATTAAGCATATAAGCGTGAGGGCATCTTCACCTCAATAGCTAGCTTTTGGGATAAGTGACCGTGTAACAACAACAGGATGGTATCTTCCCAAATAATCATTTTAAGGTATCTTCTCGTATTTGGGTCTTCCTCTTGGAGCTTCATTCAAGGTAAAGTCGGTCTAGAAGTCGATGGTGCAGAGGTTCCAGAGGCGATTGACAGCCACAGGGTAGGAAAGGGTGTTTGTTCAAAGGAGCGAGGTTGACTATGATTAAGACAGAGGAGCATTTTGTGTAGCCTCTTACTTATTTCACATCTTTGTTCGTTATTCTTGTTTCAGTTGGGAAACAATTGGAAAAGCTGCAGTGTGTGTGACTTCTGGTGGGAAGGGATTGAAAAGGAGTTAAATATCATTTCATGGATTGGGACACTGTACGTTCATCCTCGAAGGAGGGGAGGTTGGGACTTGCCATTTTTAATCAAGCTTTGTTGGGGAAATGATTATGGAGGTTTTCTAGAGAAAGGAAAAGATGTTGGAGAAGGGTGGTGGCTTTTATCTTATAGTATTGATCTATCGAAAGGAATCAGAAGTGGGTAAGATAAGACACTTTTTATGAGCATATTCAATTTGTGATAGGGAGTAGGGATCATACTAGGTTTTGGAGCTATTGCTCGTGCGGAGATGAGTGTTTGAAGAGTCTATTTCCTAAAATTGCTAGCATTGCTGGTAACAAAGAGGCCTCAGTCAGTGACTACTTACGGTTATTTGATTATTAGGTATTTTGGGATTTTGGGCTTTGAAAATAGCTTAAAGCTCCGAACATTATGGAGCTATCGGATCTCCTTGGTCATCTCTATTCATCCCATATTGGTGATGGTGGTGATTTAGTTTGATGGCTGAAGTCCTCATTCGGCCAGTTCAGTATGAAGTCTTACTATGCCACTCTTGTAGGGAGCAATGTGTCTATCTTCCTGTAGAGAAGGGTTTGGAGTACTAACTTATTAAGGCCCTGTCTACGGTGGTTTTCTTTGTCTGGTATGCTACACATAGGAAGATTCTCACCATTGACAACTTTACTAAAAGGAAAGAAGTGCATGTCAATAAGCAATTAATCAAGAGGCATGAAAAGGTTGGTTCGGCATCGATTGGTGTTCTATACAATGGTGGGGGAGTTTCTTCTTTCTTGGAGGGAGCTGATTGACGTCACTTCTTTCCACTTCTGATATCTGGTCTAATAAAATGAACATTAACTTCATTTTGAACATTCAGCTCGCCGTAAACTTCAGAGCTTACATAAATCCAATCCAAAAAAAAAAAAAAAAAAAAAAAAAAAAAAAAAAACAGAATAATTAGCGGAACTAGCAGAAATATTTAGGCCTTGTTTGGCTTGTGTTTCTCAAAAAATTTTGAGAAAAATTCTCTGCAAATAAGTTTTCAAAAGTAATCAAACCAAACAAATTTTTCCAAATTTTTTTTCCAAAACTTGTTTGGTTTACAAATTTTCCAAACAAATCTCTCTCTCATACACATCAAATCAATCACTTTTTCCAAAACTCTCTCTCAAAATAATTTTTCAAAACATCTTTTGAAAAAAAGTCAAACCAAACAAATTTTCGTACTTTTTATCTTAAAACATGTTTCTCAAATACAAACCAAATAAGGCCTCAGTATTGAAAATTGAATGCTGAATTTTTTAAGATAAAAAACTATTTGATAAAATTTCAATTGTTGAATTAAAAATTAATTATTTGATATATATAAGATCAAATTTAAAATTTATTTTTTAAAATTTTTATATTGTGACGGTGGTGGTGATGGTATGGTCGTGGTAGTGGTAGTGGTGTTGGTAGTGGTTGTGGTTGTGGTTGTGGTGATGGTGGCATTGATGGTGTTGGTGGCCATGACAATTTCGATAGTAAGGGTAGTAAAATGATGGTGGTACTTATGGCAACAATAACAATGGTGATAAATGTGGTGGTAGTTGTAGTGGTGGTGGCAAGACGGTGATAGTGGTGATAGTGGTGGCAGTGGCATGGTGGTGGCGTTGGTGGTGGTGGCGGTGGCAGTGGCATAATGGTGGTGATGGTTGTGGTGTTGGTGGCACGATGGTGGTGGTAGTGGTAACGGTAAAAACGTACATTGATGCTTCTGTTTAGTATTTATAAATTTAGTTAAAATTAAGTAAGTTTCTTATGACTTAAAATTTACTTAAATTTTAGCTTTCATTTTAGGAGGCACTTAAATTTTGAAGTGATACAATTATGGTTATCAAACGAGCATAATTGATTATCACTTAATACATTCAATTTTAACTGACGAATTAGATTATCAAACACTCCCTTAGTATAGCTCCTTGGTGCCTCATCTTTAATAAAATTATACTAATCAACCAAAAAATATGAGTCAGTGTCATAAAAGGCTCCAAGCACACTGAGGCTATAAGGTCTCCTATGGCCTACGCACGAGGCATGCGGTGAGGCGCGCGCCTCACCCAAGCGAAACGCAAGTAGTGAAAGAAAAGCAAAATTATAAAATAGGCAAACTTTTCAACATAACAAATATATAAATATATATATATATAATTTTAATAATCATAACTATTTCCGAAAATCTTTAAACATAACATTCAATCTTCTAAAAATTAGAAATATAATATCCAACAAAAGATATAAAACATAACATTCAATCTTTTATCACCTTTTGCTCTCTTTTGACCACGTTTGGCCATTTTATATTTAAGAGTTTTGAATCCCTATGGGTATGCCCACAAAAAAAAAAAAAAAATTAATCAATAGTTGGAGTAGAAAAATAGTTAAAGCCGACGCCTCGTGCCTCGAAAAAAAGCCCTCGCCTCAGCTCCTAAGCTACGCCTTGAGTATTGCGCCTCATCTCGACCTGTTCGAAGCGCAAGGCTGCGTCTCATTGCGCCTTGCGCTTAGGCACGCTCCTAAGCGCGCCTTTTAAAACACTGATATGAGTGCATTCTTGAAAATCTAAAAAAAAACCCATATCAAAAAAAAAAAAAAGGACCAATTCCAATCTTAGCCTTTAGTGTGCAATCTAAAAGAAAATGCAAACAAAAAATTACAGAAAAAAAAAAAAGGCCAAATCCAATCTCAAACGGTGAAACCTGATATGTTTTAGATAAGGTTCTTCAGTGAATAGCCCCATCCATCACCATCTAACCTGACAATAACCAAAAACAATGCATGAGATAACTTAAAACTTAAAATCCCTAACCATCAAATTCAAGGAGGACAATTAAAAACTGGAGCAAAAATTTAAAAGAGAACGAAAAACAAGACAACAATGTTTCTACAATATGCAGGCAGACTTCAACTCATTATAACAAATTTTGTTCAGCAAACAAGTCCATCTAATTTTATCCAAGAGTGAAATAAAATAAATTGAAAGCAAGTTTAGATTGTTCTTATGGTCAGTTCCTAATATGAATAAAGAAGCAATCAATACAAGATATTGTCTCTATCATCCAAAAGAAAAGGAGAGACGAGATATGCACATAGCTTTAGAAAGCTCAAGTTGAAAAAAAAAAAAAAAAACAATATATTAATGTCACATGACTTATCCAAGTGGAAGAACTTAAAAACATATATGTGTACTTATTTACTTGGACAATTGCCGCCTCTACAGTTGAAAGATACGGACCTAGAAATGATGTTGGAGAAAGTGCAAAAATGCTATGGTGGTGGAGATTAAGGGAAGGCAGATGGAACTCCCCATTTCCTGTAACTTTGGAGTTGAGAGAAGTTACTTTGGAAGAACATTGACAGCTCTTCTAAATATGAAGACTGGACCAAGTAAATACATAATATACATTCTCGTGGTGGTCATAATTTAAGCTCTGCATGGAAAGCGATGAGAAAGAAGAGGCCTGCTGTAATATGGCGGAAAATGGTACTGAAAATCCCTAAAACCCCTAGCAGTATTTACTGAATGATTAGATATTATAGAGAAGCTGACAACCAAAGATAAAACTCCAGAAATGGGGCTTATTGGGTGACAGCACCTGTCAGCTATGAGAAATTCAGCAAAAACTACTCCACACTTAAATTCTAAATGAACTTTTCAGTACAGGTTTGAATTGTTTTGCTAGTACATGTGAATTAGTAGGATTCAAACTCCGTCAGCAGTAAAAGTTCAAATGAAATTCTCAAAAATGCTAAACATGACCCTCTGTTACATAAAGCAAAAGGATTAAGTTTTGCAGCAAAGGCAGGGCCAAAAAATAAGGAATACTGGAAGATGCCAAACATGGCAAAGGGAGAAAGTACAAGATTAGGAGAGACTCCGCTCAAGATGGAGGATCCATAGAGGTATAAAAGCTTATTCTCATGTGTAAATCGTTAACGTGAATCTGTTGATGTTAATGGATGAAAAGCCTGCATACAAATTATATGTGATTGTACCCTATATAAAAAGGCATGCCCACCCAGTTTCTTTCTTCGTTTCATATAAAGATCTCACACTTATCCACAAAGAGGGGGAGGGGGAAGGGTATCTCCTTAAACAATGGTGCAAAGTTAGTGCAATGTCATAACTATAAGAAGGGCGAAGTTTCACGTCACAGAAAAATTTTATTAAAGAAGACAGGCGAACCCATTAAATTAGTCTCAATGGAACCAACTGTATTTAAAAGTAAGAATACAAGAAGATGATAATAGCTTTTCTAGGCTGAGAATTACATCATACCTTCTAGAAGATACTTCACACATAGATTGAGATTGAGATTGAGAAGCAGCCATCCAACGACTGTAGCTACCGGTAGCAACCTCAGCACTTCCATCCAGGCTGGATAGGAATAGGTGATCGTCTACCATAACTATGATGGTTGCTGTATACCTATTCTGCGATTTACAAAGTTGACACCCTCAAATCAATAATGAGGAGTAAAAAAGTAATATATGAAACAAAAAGGGATTGAAACAAAGTACTTCATACCTTAATATCGTGGATCGCTCTTACCAATGCTTCCTTTAACATTTTAACGTAGGAACCATCAAAATTATCACCCTCCAGCCTGTTGACAAATTAACAATGAAGTTACCTACACTTGTAATTCTTGTAACAATTATGCAACCAAAGAAAAAAGTTTCTAAATTATATTCTAGACTTGTATATGAAAAATAAATATGCTTTGCAATCAAAAAGTATAGTGAGCATGTGCAAGTTAAATACAAGGTCATGTATTTACTTAAGAGCAAAGATACTACACGCGTGACAATTAAAAAACACTACATCATATACAAGACAATGTCAGTTCCTAAGTAGAGCATGAGTGTGCATACGCACACAAGCCACACACCCACTTCTTCCTATTATTCCTTCCAATGAGTAGATGTATCACATATCATACTTCAGCCCATAAGATATATTACGTATACATAATTACGTACCTTGATAATACATAATTACGTGCCTTGATGTCTCAAGAAAAATAAAATTAATTACATGTGCGCATAAGGGGGAAAATAAAGTTCAATATTTCCAACAAACAAAAAGGACTCACCCAAAAAATAACAAGAAAATTGAATGCTTGAGTTCCAACAATTTCTACCATGGATATGCATGCAACCACAAACATGCACATAACACTCATGCATGTGTCGTCATCTCAATCAATAATTCACATGGACAAAATGAAAGATTAAAAAATGCACAAATACATTTGATATATTGGAGGTGCAAATTCGAGATTATATTTTCAACCTATTCATACATGCATAGAACATGAGATATGAAAGATTAACAAGTAGAAAAAGCACAAATACAATTAATATTTACAAGAAACAACTTTGAACACAGATTGTCAATCAATCCACATATCATAATATGATATGTCATCCAATTTTTAAAATAAAGCACACTATACATCATCCAATTTTCAAAATAAAGCATACTCATCTATAACATGACTCGCTCAAATTATCTACTCATCTCAAAAGTTAAGAATAAGTAAATAGTATAGAATGCAATACCTATCAAATAGAAAATACGTGTGTAGGAAGAAGTATTCCTCAATATACTTCCATGCCGTCTCACTTGCTTCATTGCTATAATAGCCATCAAAAATAGCAACAATACCCAATGTAGCTTCTTTGTGGAGACCTGCAACAATAGTCAAACTTATTTATACCATGTTTACAACATAAGTATGTGTATACAAAACAATTCCAATAAACTAAACTAAAAATCATCCAACTTTCATATAAGCAAGCCTTCTCCATTTTATTTTCATTATACAAGCTAAAACTACATTACAATAACCTCTTCTTCTTTTTTTCTTCTCTTTATTTTCGTTACTGAAGCGCAGTTGCTAAATCAAGAATCGTATCGTTAATCAAAATCCAAATTTTGTGAATCGAATCGAATCAAGAATCATTAAGATTCAATACAAATTACAACATGTTAAAATGTACCAAAACCTACCACTACACCTACTCCACCTACCACCTCCACTACCACCCACTCCACCTACCACCTCCACTACCACCTACACCTACTACCATCTCTTCCAGATACTTCTTCAGAGAGTCAACACTCACAATCCGAGCAGGGAAGATCTTTCCGGTAATACGGAGAAGCCTTTTTTCTGTGTTGTACGTGCACACCGATGTTCAAAGGAGCGAGAATTTTCCAGGAATCTCAGCCCTACGATCGATCTACGATGCGATTCCGATCAACGTCCGGGAAAATCTGGAGGCTGTCTACTTCCTCCACCCAGGTCTACAATCCAGGCTCTTCCTCGCCACCTTTGGCCGCTTCATTTTCAGCGGAGGTCTATATGGAAAGCTAAGGTATGTGAGCAAGTTGGACTACCTGTGGGACCACGGCATCGAGAGCTTCCGGCGGACTTCGGGGAGCTCTCGACGGAGCCAGAAAGCTCGCCGGAGTGGTTATTGGAAGCCTTGTTGGATCTATTAGCAGCATGATCATACATTTCTTCAACCGAAGCAAGATAGAAAGAAATCATGTCTTCTCAATCCTCTCAATTTGGTCAAGAACTTCTGATCCAGAAGCTTGATGTCTTCAAGATCCAAGGCAAAGATAAACGAGGCCGAAGCATCCTCCGTATTACCGGAAAGTTCTTCCCTGCTCGGATTGTGAGTGTTGACTCTCTGAAGAAGTATCTGGAAGAGAATATCTTTCCTAAACTGGAGAAGCCTTTTTTCTGTGTTGTACGTGCACACCGATGTTCAAAGGAGCGAGAATTTTCCAGGAATCTCAGCCCTACGATCGATCTACGATGCGATTCCGATCAACGTCCGGGAAAATCTGGAGGCTGTCTACTTCCTCCACCCAGGTCTACAATCCAGGCTCTTCCTCGCCACCTTTGGCCGCTTCATTTTCAGCGGAGGTCTGTATGGAAAGCTAAGGTATGTGAGCAAGTTGGACTACCTGTGGGACCACGGCATCGAGAGCTTCCGGCGGACTTCGGGGAGCTCTCGACGGAGCCAGAAAGCTCGCCGGAGTGGTTATTGGAAGCCTTGTTGGATCTATTACGCCTGGAGACCGAGATCGCCGAGTCGTCAAGGGCGATACAGGGGAACCCAGATCGAGTTCTCTGAAATCGGGTTTGTTGGTGGTGGTGGTGTCGTCGTCAAAGGTCATCGAGTCCCGGAATCGATCGGGGAGTGTATTGAGCCCTAGTTTCGAAATGGGTTTCTGAGACTGTGACATTTTGGAGTAAAAAAAAAAAATACAAATGAAGGATTGATTCCCCACTTCCTCTCTCAATGATTAAAATACTCTCTCTCTCTCTCTCACTTTACACCTACTCTTTCAATCCAACAAACAGATTTTCTCCACCAGCGTTGTTCTAATTTTTTTTTTTATTCCTTTTTCGTTCTCTCAGTGCTTAGTCCACCAACTCACTCTCCCTTTAACATAATAAGTCTCCACCGAATTGGACACCCAATGAGGGAGATATATTGTATTTAAAAATAAAAATAAAAATAAAAAAAAACATTTAAACCATTGCAGGATTTAACAAAACAGTGGGCCAAGAAACCCACGTGACCCAATCTCCTTTCTCCCTCACTTTCTTTAAATCCCTCTTTTCCTCTCATGGGCTTGTTCTCTCTCTCTCTCTCCTCCATTTGATTTTAAAATCCATTATTTTTATTTATTTTCTCCAAACCACTTTCCTTATTTCCCCCATCTTTCATTTTGATTTCAAAATATCTTCTTATTATTTCTTTCTTTATTTTTCTTTCGCATTATTTTTAATTTTTTTCAAATTCCATTCATACCATATCGCTTTGCACACCACACCATATTTTATTCATCTCAGGGATCAACCCCGATCACAATTCTACACACAAAAAAAAAAAAAAAAAAAAAAAAAACCCAAAAAAAAAAAAAAAAACTTTTTTTTTTTTTCTGCAGACGGCCACCCACCCACCGACCTACTCTGCCGCCGGTCTCTTCTTTTGCCCTCCGTCCTGGGCGTCCTTACGTGCTGCTCTGTGCTTCCTAATCCACCAGGCATGATCACTACTCCCTGCTCCTCCACTGCAGATATGGCGGCCCTCCAAATCGAAACATCACGGTGGCCTTCCGCTTCAGCTCCTTGTTTTCCGCCTTTAGCACACTTATCTCTGCTCGCGCATCCTTATACATGCGTTGGAGCAAAGCCAGCTGGGAGTTTAACTGTTGCACCTCATTTGTCCTGCTCTGCAGCCGGTGCGACAAGTTTGTGACCGCAGTCAGATGTTCCACACATGACTTCGAGTATACTGATTGGCCTCAATATCAGTTCGCACCGCCATTTTTGCTCCACCGACCGCATCGGAAAGTTCAACGGAGCAAACTAACAGAGAGGTGTTTGGTTGAGGTTCACTGGCCACCGCACCAGTTATTTCTCTTGTGGGCTCGTTCAGTTCTGGAAAGAGCGTGAGCAGACCACGGGAAGAGGAGGCCATGTTCTGGGTAGCTGGACGGGAAGAAGAGGCCATGTTTTTTGGGTTGCTGAGTGTTTCAGCGAAATAGCAATTTCAGACTGATAATGTTCGGAAGGGTTGGTTACAGAGTGTTTCAAGATTTGCAGCTCTTAGAGGCTCTCTCTCAGAAAACGAATATCTCTCTCAGAAAATGAAGAGTTTTTCAGAAGTTTTTTCCCAGGTTTTTTTTTTGTCTTCGCTTCTGCCTCAAGCACAGCCTCCGCCTCAGTTTATAAAGACCCTGACGAAGAGGCCGCCACGCGTATCGCGCGCCACTTGACGCCAGACGACAAACGGGCGCGCCAGCCAAGGCACTCACGTGCCTCGCCATCATATCTGGCACGCCTTTTTTTTTATGGATTGGGCACGCCTTTTGATGGCACGCCTTTTGAAAGATTGGGCACACCTTTTGACGGTTAGCTCCTTCATGGGTCCGACAAGACTCAGTAAACTGTCCCGACATTGATTCCGGTTAGCTCCTTCATGGGTCCGACAAGACTCTGTAAACTGTCCCGATATTGATTCCGGTTAGTTTCTACAAGGGTCCAGCAAGACTCCGTAAACTGTCACAACATTGTCTGCTACAACGGTCCGACATGACCCCATAAATTGTCTTCTACATCGATCTACCATAACCATACAGTCTTCTACAACGGTCTGACACGACCATACAGTGTCTCCTATCCTTTTTTATTTTATGTATTCGTCTATTTTCTTGTTTTGTTAGTCTCTCCAAACTCAAGTTGGTTAGTTCCTATCCCCCTTGAGTTTGCGGGGGGCTGTTAAAATGTACCAAAACCTACCACTACACCTACTCCACCTACCACCTCCACTACCACCCACTCCACCTACCACCTCCACTACCACCTACACCTACTACCATCTTCTCTTCTATATATAGGAATTGTAATATACAACATAATATCAATCAATAATATACATCAATTTTTCTTACACAACACAAAGATGTTAAACAATCATATATGTGAATAAAAATGAAATAAATTTATTTTGACACGTGTCATAAAATAGTTCTTATATAAGAACAAGATTACACCGTCCATTTGGGAAGACATTGCCTTCATAGCAAGGTTTCGAAAAGCAATTGCGGGCGTCTTAAACGGTTGCAAAAATTATTGGTTATTTTCATATTAAACATAAGCACGTGTCTAAATGTATTATGACAACACAAAAATTATTGAGGAAAAAATGTTAATTACATGGTAGGTCTGATTCAATCCAATTAAAATCACTATGATCACCAAAACAACAACAAAACATTTATAGTTATTCGTTATTTTCATATTAAACACAAACACGTGTATTATTTTCACTACAAAAATCAAAAAGGTAAAAAATAGTTGGAATCTGTCACACACAATGGTTTCAATAATTGCATAAATCGTAAAAAGTAAATCAAATCATGAATTGATTGTGAACAGTGAAATCTATCATAGATTCTACTCCAAAATAGATTCACCAATAGATTTGCATCGATATATGCATGAATCGTAAATTGATTTGCAAATTGGGATATTATAATAACAAAGTGCTCAAGTACACACTATTTTACTCGAATAGGGATACGAATCGTTTAGTATTTTTCTAATTGATTTGCAAATATTCTGAGCTATCTCGAAAGTTCAGATTATAAATTCCATTTGATTGTTGACAAATTTAAACAAAACAGAACAGATGCTTAGATATAAACCAATCTAAATTAGAACTTGATTCTAACAAATTTATTCCCTCTCCTTTCCAACATATAAACTACACAAACAAAATTGAGAAATTTCAGCAACAAAAACAAGATCAAAAACAAAATTCAAAAAAAAAAAATCAAAAAATCAGAGTTGAATTTGGAGAGACTTACGGCGAAGAGGAAACCTAATATCAACGTCGCAAAAGAAGTGATTGTGAGTGAAATCTCGCCCAAGAGCATCGAGAATAGCTTCTGAGCAATGCACCGTAGTTGAGTCAGTCAAACGTCCCCATGAGAGTGAGTGACCCCAGCGAGGACATTCTGGAGAACGAATCACCGCCATTGCACCGCCTTCGCGGTAAACCTTTCGGCAAGCCTCGGTCTCTGCGGCCGATCTTGGTAGTGAACAGACACAAAAGACTAACACCACAACAGAAATACAGAACAATCTCATCGTCGAGTCCATCTTCATCGTTTTCTTGGTGAATGATATCACTGATTGCACCTCCAAACCCTAGATATATAGATAGTAGTAGTAGTAGTAGTAAGAAGAAGAAGAAGAAGAAGAGAGCGAGAGAGAGTTTCAGTTTGTTGGAATTTGGGAAACGTAGTTGGCGCGAATCTCTGTATCTCTAGGACTAGTCCGTCATGCGGGACAGACTGGAGTAAAATTTGGAAAATATCAATTCAGTTGTATTTTTAAAAAATTATTATAAATTAGTAATGAATTTTATAAATATTAATCAGCGTTTAGTTTGTGTTTTTTAAATTAAATTTTTTAGAAATTGAGTTTTTTTGATTTTTTTTGTTTTTACTTAATATTTTTAAAATTTTAAACATTTTTTTTATTTTTTTAGATACACCTTATTTAAATATATCTAAAAAGTAAAAATTTTGTGAAAAAATATTTTAAAATATTAATAAATACATAAAAATATATAAAAATATATATTATACTGAATTCTCGTATTTTTTTATATTTTTGGTATTTAGTAAATTTTTAAAAGATTTTTTTCACAAGTTTTTTACTTTTTAGGTATATTTATGTTAGGTATGTCTAAAAGTAAAAAAAAAAAAGCTTAAAATATTTTAAAAATTCAGTAAAAACAAAAAAATACGAAAAATAGAAAAGTAAAATTTTAAAAAATTAAATTTAGAAAACTAAATCTAAACACTGTCATTAATTTTATAAAAATTAAATTTATATATTAAAAATTATATGTATTTTATTAAAATAAAATTGAATAATATTTGTTTTGTTTTTTAATTAAGTAAAAACAAAAAAATATGAAAAACAGGAAAGTAGAATTTTCTGAAAAGTATTTTTGGAAAACTCTAATTAAGCAAAGATATTTTTTTTTTTTTGGTTTGGTTTTGAATTTTTAAAAATAAAATTTACATATAAATCTCAATAATTTTCTTATAGACCAAATAATCACATTGATTTTGAAAAAGTAGATTTAATATATTATTTAAAAATTAAATTTACGGTTATACCCTTAATTCTATATGGTTCCTTCACTTCTTTTTTTTTTCCTTTTGTGCTACAAAGGAAAGGTACATAATCTATGAAATTAAATTTCAGACTAATATTTTTTATTTGGTAAACATTTCAAAAGGAGTACAAAAATAATTTGAAATATAAGATTTTTCAAATATTCTAAAATGTTGTAAGATGCTTCAAATATTTGAAAAAGAGTACAAAAACACCTTAATTAGCTTTGGACAAATTTATAATTTTAAACTGTAACACTCAAACATAATACTCCAATGTAACACTCCAAAAAAATCTTAATGTATTTTTTCCAAACATGACACTCCAATATAACACTCTAAAAAAACTCATTAACGTAACACTCTTATGTAACCAAAAAAAAAAAAAATTGCTAATGTATTTTTCTTAAACGTAACTCTCAAAAAAAATGATGTGAAATTTTTAAAACCATTCCAAACGGATGATAGATTCTTCAAACCATTCCAAAAGGAGTACAAAAATTCCTTAGTAAGTTTTTGACAAATATATAATTTCAAATTATGAGTGTTACGTTTGAAAAAAAGTATACTAAGGAGTTTTTGTATTTTTGTGTGTGTTACATTAAAGTATGGTACATTGTAGTGTTACGTTTGGGATTATATTAATTGGAGTGTTACATTTGGAAAAAAATACACTAAAAGTTCTTTTTCTTTTTTTTTTTGTGCTACATTTGGAAAAATTATACTAAGGATTTTTATTAGGGTTACATTGTTGTTTTTGTGAAAAGTATACTAAGAAAATTTTTAATGTGTTATATTGAAGTATTACGTTACTTGAGTGCTACACTAGAGCATTACGTGTTTGTTTGTAATGTGGGATTTGTTCGAGAATGATGAAAAATCCAAAACTTTAATAGTGCGGATTGCCCAAATGTATAATTTTACGTTTGGATAAACACATTTTTATCCCTGAAAAATTAAACCCAAAAATATAAGTGTAGACACCCCATTTTTGACCGTCCTCAAGACTTGGACGTCACCGCGTGAACACTCGGTGATCATCCATGTTTGTGTTCGTCTTGAGTTCCCGGAGGCCTCGGCTGCACGCCTTGCCTCAGAATCTCTCGACTCGACTGTTTTGTGTCTGGTTTTGCACCAAACACTTGTGTTTTTGCTTTGGAGAGCAGGGAATGGCTTGTTGGTCATCCCTGTACTCCACCGGGCATGGCTTGAAGCCATCGGCTGTGTTTTGTTGCCACCGGCCAAATATTTGGCCGACCGGCACTATGGATGGTCGACCGGCCATCTATTTTGGTCAATTGCATTTTTGGCTGGCCGACCACTGTTCATCTGCTTTTGCAGATATTTTTGTGCCAGCTGTGATAGCTGGCACCCACTCTGCTCCCCTCCATACACGTGTATGGAGGGATTTATCTCTTGGATGGCTTGTTTTGGAAACCTTACAAGAGGGAACTCCTATAAGAGGGAGGCTCTTCTCCCTCCTCTAGGTTGGACAACATTTTCAGAGAGCTTTGAGTTTTAGGGTTTGAGTGTTGTATCCATCCTATCTCTATTTCTCCCTCTCTTTAGCTCTAACTGTGTGTTTAGTCTTATTATTGCACACAAACACATAGTATCACACCTTTTCTTGGTTGCTGAGGGCCAGAGAAGTGTTCTTGGAGTTCTTGGAGCTGGTTTGGAGCCAAAGAAGCTGTTGGAGATTCATTTGTGAAGAAGGTCTACAAGGGTAAGAAACTTGTCCCTTTTTACCCCATTTTTGCATAGCTCTTTTGACTACCTTAAAACTATTTTTAGACTTGGTGTATAACATATAAAAGTTTTGTTTTTGCTTTCTCTAAATAGTTGTTTAAGAGTGTTTTGGTGTTTGAGGTTGTTTGACCCCTTTTAAGGCTTGTTTAGCCCCATTTTGTGCCTTTTTTGATAAGCTCCGGGACCATACTGTTTGGGCCTCCTCACCACTGAAATCTTGAGGGATTTCAGTGGTGAGGATGGTGCCTTGAGGTCCCAAGAAGGAGAGGGCCATCCCCTCTCCTTGTTGTCCTTGAAAAGGACCATTTTTGCCTCTTGAGGGAGCATCTAGTTTAGGTTCATGTTGACCATGCCTTACCTGATATTTAGACTTATTTTGCCATGAAATAGCATTGTGTTGAGTTGGTTTAGACACACCTTGCATACATGTCTTGTAATGCCATCTTTTAGCCTTAACATGCATCTAGGTTTTAACCCTTGTTCAAGCATGTTTTAGGCCTAGCTTTGTGAAGCTTTTATACTTGTTTTCCCATGGTTAAAGTCTGCCCTTGGTTGTTTTAGCCATGTTTGCCATGTATTGCATAGCCCCTTTGCATTGTTAGCTTGTAGGCTTTAAGTGTGTGAAGTGTTGAACATGCATTGTTTGATCTATTTCAGTGGTTTGGCACCACTTATAGCATCATTTCAGCCCTCATGACATGCTTGCATGCTTGCCTTTGATGCTTCTTTGATGCCTTAAAAGGTTGTGCTCTATGCTCCATGTTTGGTCATTGTGCATGCTCTTGAATTTAAGTCATTAGATGCCATCTAAGTGATCTTTGGGCTTTGTTTTAATATGCTAAAACTCTATTTTTGGTCATTTAATTCATGCCATGTTTGGTCCTCCTAAGTGTGGTCCAATATCCCTTTAACTTGCCTTGAGTTTTGGCCATGCTAGCATGCATTGCTTGTGTTAATTAGTTGGTTTGGCACCTCTATTTGATGCATATTCAGAGCTTATGTTGCATGCCATTTGCCCATGTTAGCTTCTTTTAAGTGTGCTTGGAAGTTGCCTTTATGTGCCTAAGTATTGGACCTTGCATGCATGCCTATTTGTATGTGTTTTGGCTTCCATGGTTGAGCATCTTGGCCACTGTTTTAGACCTAGTTTAGGACTGTCCAATTAGTGTAAGTCCCTCCTTTGCATGATTGTTGCGTGCTCACCTCATATGTTGTTGTATATTTGGTGTGTTGTTGCATGATTGAAGTTGCATGATCGAATGAAGTCGCAGGCTTGCTTGCATGCTTGAACACCCACATTATGTCTTGCATACTGGTTGGTTACCTTGCTTCATACCCTGCATACCTTAGCGTTAATGTCATATGCCTTGCATGCTTATTTGTTTGCATCTCATGTTGCATATTTAGCACTTATGCCTAGGTTGCATCACCTTAGCATGCATGCTTTGCCTCTTGAATTGAGTATGAAAGAGATTGAGCTCCTTGTGTGTTCATTTGGTTTGTATTTCATTTGAAATTGAAATTACATACATGGTTTCTTGGGCCATCACGCATTGAAATGCGTAATTGGCGGTCCGAGAACCAAGGACCATGTCCCTTGGAGTCTTAAACATGATAAGGGATGTGTTGGTGCATACATTTGCTTGAAATGTATTGCCATGCCATGTTTTGCCCTCTGTTGCTGTCAAACACAGATTCTACAAGAAGATTTGGCCGACCGGCCATCTTCAGTGCCGACCGGCCATCATTGTTGGCCGATGGATCAATTTTGTAGCCGGTGATCATTTCCCTTGGCTGGTGGCCATTCCCCTCAGTCGGTGGTGTTCCACAGTGTGCAAAGAGCATATCCTGGGACTTGTACAATTTTCAGAGGAGCAGAGCAGGGAAAACAGAGGCGACTTGTGCATGGTGGCGGATTTCCGAGCAAAACCGAGCACGCATTGCATTGGACCCTCTTCCCGAGGCTGATTTTATTGCTTAATTAGCTTAGTTAATTTGCTTAGCTAGTGAATTGTCTGTAATAATTAATTAGCTTGATAGTTAGTTAATTGTATTATTTTTTCGGACCCTCCGAGCGAGGGAAATTGTGTAATAAGTGTGCGTGAGTGTGTGTATATCTTCCAACCCTACGTCTTTCTTCCCTTTTATTTACCCGCTTATGATGGTAGATTAGGGCATGTTTACTTTAGCATACCTTATGCTATACATGCGTGCATCATTCATTAGTTTTGCATGCACCAGGCTCGGCGCATCATACTAACTGCATAAGTATTTCAAATCTAACTTGAATACGTGCTACTTGTGCATTTTAAACATGTCATTTATAGACTAGCCGAGCCTACTCTAGTGACATTCCGTATGCGTTGCATTAGCCACTTAACATGAGTTAGGATCATG